GCTGATATCCACTCCTGGCTGGCTGGCGGTGGTGGGACCGCGTTCCAGCCTGCCGAGGCCGCCCTGTAAGTGCCGGAAGATTTTCTCGTTCTTAACGGGTCTTTCTCGAAGCCTTCACAAAGAAACACGAGAGAAGCCCGCAGCTGCTTTCCCGAGGCTGTGGCTGTGAGCCCCAGGGAAGGACTGGCCCGCGGGGCCACGTGGAAGGGTGAAAAAAAAAAACGGGGGGGGGGGGGACAAACATGGACTGAATGTTGGGTAACCCTTTTATTCCCTTTTTTGTCAGAGCACACTGGAATTTCCCTTTTCTGTGTGAAACGCCATCATGACAGATCAAGAGTATGTCCTTTGCATGTGGAAGGAGCGTTTGTGGCCAGCAAAGGTAAAGCAGATGTTCACATGAGGAGAGGTTTTTGGATATAACTTAGAAATGGAGTAGTAAGTCAGTAAGAGCTGGTAAACATATCTATGCTTTAAAAAAGAGCTAGTCTGTGGAGATCTTAGCAGTGCAACCAGATGCCATGGAATCTCCATCCATTGTGTGCTGTTCCCATTAAAGATGTTTTGTTGTCAGGTCTGTCCTGTAATCTAATGGGCTTGGTCAAGGCTTTCAAATGCAGTTTTTCTCTTTAATGTAGGTTTTGTGCAAAACTGGAGTTGCTGGGGAAGCATCTGTTAATGCGAAGGAGACTGCTTTTACAGTTGAAATACTTGGCTTGCAAAAGCGGTTAAGTATACCTGTTACTGTTGTGTGTTTAGACTCTTAGACATTTATAAAAAAAGCCGCAGTAATCCCTTTATCTGCAGTTATCTGTGAAGCGGGATCATCCTTTAATTTACAAAAGGATGAGATGGCTGACCCAAAGCCCGTTGTCTTTTCGGAGCTGGCCTCATGGTTCTCTCCTGAAACATCATAATCAACAGACTGTCAGCTCAGGCATTCTTCCTGGGTTTGGTTTTTTCCTTCTGTTAAGAAGATGGGTTTTGGGGAAGAAAATATTGCGACTTTATTGTCAGATGAGAGCAGTGTCATGCTGTTGGTGATGTTTAATGCTGTGCCACCTTCAGCCAGCTTTGCTGTATTTAATGGTTCTGTGATTCTCAGGATCAGAGTGGACTGTGCAGATGCTGTACCGCTGAAGGAGGAACAGATAGAAAGCATCGCCTCTACCCTAGGTGAGGATATGTCAGAAGGTTTACTGCCTTGTGTATACTCTGAATGTGAAATGTACACAAAGCCCCGGGGGGGATGGTGGTTGTGTATTTCATTTCTTGAGGGGGACTTTTTTGCATTTCTTTTCATCTCTTCCCATTCCATCCATAAGGTTTGAAAATAGACTAAATGTTCTCAGAGCTGCTTCTGCCTTCTGCTCTTCTCTCTTGGTTGGAAGGAACGGGGAAGGAACTTGTGTGTATTTGCATCAAAATAGAGGGCTGGAAGCTTGGCTTTGTCTGTCTCTGTGTGCTTTGCCTTAAGAATCATGAACAATTTGAGTGTTGAGTTGTATCTGAAACAAAAGGTGTACTAGAAATAAAATTACTTATTTCTTGCATACGAATAAAGCTTATTGCCTTTATTGTGTATTCTTCTTCATCAGATCAAAGGAATAATTCGAGTGAGGTTGTGGAAGAACTGAACTATCGCCGTTCTCTGAAAATTGCCCTGGATGTTTTTACTCAAAATGTCTCACCCAGAGAAGTCCCACCTTCAGAAGGACCAGCTACTCTGTTATCCCAGGAGAACAACGCAGGGTCTCTCTCGTCGACCCCCTTATGTAGTCGTGAATTGAGCTTGGAGCCTGAGCCTTCCAGGAAGAAAAGCAAACAGAAAAATCACACCAGCCTGAAGACTGATACAAAAAAACAAAAACGGAAGGGTTCTGCTGTTTTGGAGGAGACTGTTGAAGCCAGTGAAAATGGAACGAGCCCTTCCAAGCGTCGTACTGGGGACTTGCGTGGTACGTCAAACTCGGATAGTCAAAACTGCAAGAAACCAGAATCAAAATCACTACCAAGAGAGAAAAAAATCAATCCCGGATTGCTAACAAAGTCCAAACCAGGACATAAAGTTTCCCTTAAGCCCAAGGAGGGAAAAAGTAACCAAGGAAGGAGGAGACCAAGAGGTGCAGGCTTACCTGTGTCGTGCGGGAATGATCTCCCCAAGGATCAAGCGCAGCCCCTTGCTGGGGAAGGGTCTCCTCTGCCTGTCCCCTGCCAGCCTGGCACGGCGGCGCCGGTCACAAGGACAAACACCCAAAGTCAACCTACAAGGACATTACTGGGTTCCTCTTGTAAAAGTGCCTCAGGTGACTTGGAAAAAAGCATCAGCAGTAAGAGTGAAAGCCTAGACAAGCAATTAGATAGAAGAGAAAAGGCAGTGAGTTTAGAATGGATGAATGGAGAGCAAGAGATCGGTGCAGCTCTGGCCTTGAAAAGGAAAAAGAAATGCAGGAGTCGGCCCAAGTCTTTGTCTGAGCCTTCTAACCACGGGATGCTTTCCAATAGCTTCCCCTCTCAGCGTAAAGAGGAGGAAAATGAGAACACTTCACACGTGGTTAGAAATAAAGTAAAGCAGTTTCAGCTGCCTGACTTTGAGGAGGATGAAGGTGGGCTGGTGGCTTGGGGAAGGGAAAACTTCATCCCACTCGATTGTCCAGCACTGTTGCTCCTCTGGGAATGTGGTGGTGCTTTTGTGAACGTGGTTCTTGAGCTGCTGATTTTAATTCTTTCTGGTTTAAGTTTTGGAGGAACACAAGAAGCCCTCAGTTGAACACGGGCTGATGGCTAGTGTGTCGTTGATGTTGTCTGGAGTTGTTTGGGGTTTTGTATTGAAAAACTGCTCGGCAGTAAGCTCACCCTTCCCTGGAGAGTTGCTGATTTCACATTTGGGATTTTTCTTTCCTGCTAGCTGCTCACTGTTGAGATGGGATGAGGTTGTGTGAAGGAGAGAGCTGAGGGTGTGTGGTGTGACAGACCCTTGTGTTATGGGGGCTCACGCTGCTGTGGGGTCACTCATGGTTGTGTGTTTCACCCGGGCTGAACTGATACTTTTAAAATGGTTATTCTGCACTTACGAACACTGGTGCTTGCTGCTCTTGGCAGGACTGGAATCCTCTGACCTGTCTTCAAAGATAGTTTTCACCGAGAGTCTCTCTCGCCTCTCGGCTCTGGTTGATGAGGAGGAGGAGGATGAAGAACTGCCGAGTATTCTATCATGTCAAGGTGAGAGATCAGTGTACCTGTATGAGATTTCTTCACCCGAGGTCGGTGTACCCCGTTAGGGTGTGTGTGCTTTGAGTTTGCTGACAAGCTGTGGTAACGATCCCGACCTTTCTAGAGAGTGAGTCCAGCTTTGTTTGAGCTTGGAATAGGATGCATTTCTTGGGTGCCCCAGAAAGGCTTTTTGAAACAGAATGAAATGTAAAACATTGTGAGACTGGGCAAGGGCCTAGGGCTGAAATTTGCGAGTTGCTGTGTTCAGAAGCGCCTGTGCTGTGTTTGGGGGTGTGGGGGATGCCCTGAGACCTTGGGTGAAACCTGTCAAGGCACTGAGGTGCAACTTCTGAAAGGAGGCTGAGAGAGGGCGAGCTGACAGTTTTGTCTTGGTTTTTAAAGAAAAATTACTTTATTTTTCATCATAGAACCACAAGCAATTGAAGAAGGGATTTTGGTGTGGTGCAAATTGCGAAGATACCCGTATTGGCCAGCAGTGGTAAGAACAGCTCGCTGCCGCCTTAGGGTGCTACTGCGAGGGGTCTTTGCTCGTGGGGAGCTGGGAATGTTAAAAGATCTTCCAGCAGAAGCGTTCCGAAGGCCATAGAGGTCAATTCATGTTTGACAAGAGCACATAAAAAATAAATGTGGTTGGTTCCCAGGTGTTTCAGTTGGAGCAGAGGATCACTGCTGAGCCCTTCTGTCTTGGGTGGTGAACTAGGGTGGTTGTACCCAGCTAACCAAACATGGAGGATGGGTCCTTGTGCACTAACCAAAACGCTCCCTTGGGGTAACCTGCTATTCTTGCCACTTTTAAGTTATTTTTTCATATTTATGTAACTTCCTTTAAGCGTGGGGTGTACTATGTATAGTAGAGATGGAAAACACCAAGGGTATTACGATTTTAGGACGCTAATGAGACTCTATCCTTTCAACAGGTAAAAAATGTGAAGCGGAAACACAGAAAGGCGTGTGTGCTGTTTATAGAAGGGAACACACATGACAAGAAAAAAGGGTAAATGTTGTGGATTCCGATCGCTTTCTGAACTTCAGATTTCTTTTAGGCAGCATATGCGCGGGCCAGTTACACTCGCAGTTAAAAGTGAGGCTGATCTCAGAGGGAGGGCCCAGCTAAGGGGAGGGTTTGCAGGTGTGGGCTGACGCTTTGTTGCGCTGCAGCTTGAGACAGGCTGGCACGAGTTCATGCCAACAGCTGGCACTCATGTGAGGAATAAAAAAAAATGGCTGGGGACCTGGTGCTACTGTTCTTTACCTGTGGTGCCCCAACTTTCTGGAAACACAGGCCTGCCTTTGGTTTTGTTTCCAAGCCAGGTATTTCTCATTTGTTAAAAGATTCCATAGCTTTAGCTTACTGTGAAAAAACAGAACTAGTAAAGCCTGCGTTCCTGAATTCCTTCAGAAATCTAATTTTCAGGGAGGTGTAGAATTGCAGTAAGTAAATAGCTGTGCAACGCAACTGCCTCTTTTCCCTAACTGTGTTTCTTTGCTTCATCAAGTTTCTCAGTACCTCTGAGGAACCTGAAGCACTTTGATTGTGAAGAAAAGCAGGACCTCATAGTAAGTGTGACCTGTAACATGTAACTGCCAGTGTATACACCTGTTGGGGAAAAATAAAATAGTGAACACAGTATAACTGAGCCTGGGGAGGAGCGTGGTACAGCTGCCTGGGTTGGGTTTGTTCACAGTTCTCTCGCTGTTCAACAAAATAATTAAACTTAATTTGTGCTCCACAAGATGGAGAATGTGGGAAGGGGATCCCTGACATCTTGTTCCAGCTCAGTGAGGCTGCTGCTGAGAATCCACGTGTACGTGGAAGGCAGGCAGCTGCTCAGGGCTCTTCCTGTGTTTTCTCTTGTGGGTTTTCTACGTACAACAAAGCTGCTCTCACACCGCGGGATAGAGTGATTGCAGAAGCTGAATTTTGGGAGAATGCAGGAAACTGCAAGTGAACTTTGATCTGTTATCGTTAGCCGTTTCTGGTACCTGGTTAGTGTCCTGGGCCTAAAAGCTTCCACAGGCTCCTCTTTAGGACTGTACATCATTCTTGTTTTGTAGGAACGAGCCAAAGAAGAATATCGCCAAGAAATTGAGTGGTGTATTCGACTGATTTCTGACTATCGAATTAGAGTAGGTAAGCAGATGAGTCGGATGATGTCATCCATTCTGATATGCATCAGAAAAAAGATGACACCAAACCTTTCAGCGTTGTCTCATAGGCTTAGCTGAACTGGTAAATGATGCTATTTTGGGCTTTTTAGGTTGTCATTCGTTTACGGGGTCCTTCCTGGAATATTTTGCTGCTGATATCAGTAAGTGAACTCATCATTTTTTTTGTAATTTTCTCTTGGTAGGTAGGTTTAGCTCTAACCGTTACACACGGGTGTTGAGTCACCAGACCCAGTGTGGGGGGACCATTGAAGTTACCATGCGGCATTAGCACGCTCCAAGGTGTTTTTTAAGGAAAATATAAGATTTTGTTGGTGGGGGGGTTTGTTATCCTCTTAGTAGGAAAGGAAGAAAAACCCGTCTCTTGCCAAGAAGGTCCCTTATTTTGTGTTTGTATGCGAGGAAGCCCCTTGTTTTGTGTATCGAAGTAGGATGGTTGCGGCTCTTCTTTCAGGCTCCCCCGTCAGAAAGGAAGGTTGTCACGGTTTAGTCCAGATGACCTTTCCGAATGCAGTGGAGGAAGATCTCGAAGAGTCTGCGTCAGAAGCTTCACCTCAGAAGCCCTGCAAGAAACTTCTTCCTGACAGAGCCAGAGCTGCCAGAGACAAAGCGAATAAGAAGATAGTGGAGTTCATAGTGAAGATGAAGGGGGCCGAGGAGCATCTTTTGTCTATTTTGAAAAGCAGGAAAGAATCCCGCTGGCTGAAGGAATTCCTGAACTCAAGTCAGTACGTGACCTGCATTGAGACGTACTTAGAGGACGAAGAACAATTAGACCTTGTAGTAAACTACTTGAAGGAAGTGTACCGTGAGATAGACACTAAAAACCTGCATCAAATAACTGGAGATGGAATCAAATTTATTTCAGATGTCCTTTTGCCTGAAGTAAGTAAACGGGGAGCACCGAGGAAAGTAAACCTTAAAGGCAGTGAGCACCACTGGTGTCACACGGTTCGGGTTTGCTGAGCTGCGGAGCGTTCCCCGCGAGCTGGGGGGTGTTTGGGCCGGGCAGGGATGTTCACACCTGCTCCCCGCCGACATGGGTCACGGTCCCTTCAGCTGCAGGGGCACGATACTGCGCTTGGTTTCAGTGTCAGCAAAGAATGTGAAAATCCGTGCAGGAGGCTCGTAAGCTGTGTTCATGGGCTGGTGATCAGAACAAATATGTTTTCATTAGAAACTGGAGCCATAGGACAGAGGGGAGGTAGTGGGAGGTTTTCAAAGGCAGAGTGATTGCTTTCTGCTGTGTTTTGGTTACTTCTGAAACTTCTCAAAACTTTGTTGTTTGGGGTTTTTTTAAATTTCTTGGGTTCCTTGTGTGTGTTGGGGGTGTTTGTTGTTACAGTTGTATTTTTAGATACTTACTGTTGTTCTTAGGAACTTTCCTGGGAAAACATTAGTAACTTCTGCAGAAACAAAGTTACTGTGAGGAATGTCTTAATGTGGTTATAAAAATCCTCTCCTGGGGATGCTAAAGGACAAGTTTATATATTTAAGGAGGTACACAACAATCGGTTTCACTTGTTTCCTAAGTGATGGAGGAACCTTACCCTAAACCTGTGCTCCTCTGCTCAGACAGTTTCAAGTCACTGGCTGCCGTTTAGCTTTACTTTCACGAGTGTAAATGAACTCGATGCTTTTCTAGGCCATCATTTATGCGATTGCTGCTGTGGATGACATAGACTACAAGAAGGCAGAAGAGAAGTACATAAAAGGACCATGTGTGAGCAAAAGGTAGCTTTTTCTTTTCAGTATTCTCTGAATTTTTCTCACTGGTTTACTGTTCATACGGAAAAGTGGGAGTGTAAGGGCAGGAGGAATCAGTATCCTCCCTTCTGTCAGGCCAGCTTTCTCCTTGTTTCAATAACAAAGTGACTGAAGGTGGGAAACAT